ATTTTGTGGACTTCTAGTATTGTAAGAGATGTAAGAAATTAACGCGATTTAAGACAATTAACACGAAAGCATGGATACCTTTCACACGTGACTTTCAAGTAACACGTGTCATAAACTATGATCTCTTAACAAATTTTCATGATGAAAACACTAACCTCGTAAAGCTGCAGAATCGACAAAAAGCGGCCTTTTCGTGTTCCACTGCGCTTCTGTACTGATTGAGAAAGCTTTACTGCCTTCTGCGCTTTTGACTAGTCTGCACAGTTTAAGATCAATAGATGACCTTATTCCCCGCTTCTCAGCTTCGGCCTTGAGACTCGCGTGTTCAACAATATACCTTTTCAGGGCATCAAGGGAATTATGTTCTCTTTTCAGGGGAATTCTGATCCTTTCCTTTCCCCCAAGAAAACTGAAAGATCCAGGAGATTTGGGATCAACGAAGTAGACAACCCCTTCTAAAACACGAAACGGCTCTTCGCTGACTTCGCTCTCCGACATTGTGGGTCGTGAGAAATGAAGACAAGACGTCAGACAATGAATTGAATGATCTGAAGCAATCGTACTTTCAAAAGATTGTCTGCTTTTAATAGAGGGTCTTCGTTTTCGTACTACGAAAACGAAGACCCTGCATTAGCCAAAAGAATTGCTTATTTTTTAACGAGAATTTTCCAGCAGAGAAACCTGAATGACCGTGAGAATCTATTTTAGCTACGAAATACAGTAGAAATTGATTATTTATTGACAGAACCCAAGAGTCATTTTTCCTGTACAGAACGCCTTCTCTGTCATTCTGTCACGCAATGCTAGCTATAAATCAAAGGCGGCTAGCGTTCGAATTCTGCCTGCTGTTCCAGGAATGATAATATGTGTTGTAAGTTTACCCGAGGAAACCCTCGAGAATATCAACACCAAATTGGCTCGCATAGCGAAACAGAACAGACAAGACGGGCCGTATGATAATACGGATAATAATGGGAAGAAACGCGTGAAGTGTAATGTATTATATTACTAAGCGTTGTTGCTATTTAATGTCTGTTTAACTTGTAATTTCTACGGTTTTCTGTTTACAAGGTCTTCGTTTTCGTACTACGAAAACGAAGACCAGGGGTCTTAGGTCTTAGTCTTCGTTTTCGAGGGTTTTCGTTTTCGTAACACCCAACACCCGAAGTGTAATGTATTATATTACTAAGCGTTGTTACTGTTTAATGTGTCTTTAACTTGTAATTTCTACGGTTTTCTGTTACAGGGTCTTCGTTTTCGTAGTACGAAAACAAAGACCGGGTGTCTTCGTTTTCGTACTACGAAAACGAAGACCGGGTCTTAGGTCTTAGGTCTTCGTTTTCGAGGGTCTTCGTTTTCGTAACACCCTCTGAAGACCTGATCGTTGGTGTCAGAGGTCGCATCAGCTTTACTTTTGGATCAACGGGTCATGCGAAACCCTATTGTTTGGTCACGGAAGCTGAAGAAAACAGACACGGCGATCACCTGGGGAGTTCCTTTGTGGGGTCTTCGTAGCCGTTCATCGGAAAAAGGTCGTTTACATGTTTGTTATCACGGGTATCGGAAAATCATTTATCTGTTTCACGCATCACGACAATCATATCATTCACGGTTTACGAATTTTAAAACTTTTAGAGTACGGATCACAGAAAATAAATTAGTCCGATCACGTTTCAAGTGAAACTCCCTTATAAGTGTTTAAAGAGGTAAGCGAATTTGGTATTGAAGCAACGCAAGATATGCCAGCTATTAGCAATTTTACGTTGTCCGGAAAAATGCTGTTGGCGAAAACTGTTCAAGGTTAGGAATACTCCTCACCGTCTTCCTTCTTTGCGGCGTTCAAAAGTGTTCGATATTTCATGTACACTGAGGAAGTTTCGTCTTGAAAGGGCTAAAGTCCACTTGACGTTAAAGCTGTTTCCCGCTTGAATGGTTGACTTTTCCTGCAGATAATTAAGCTTAATGGCGGACAAACAGATTGCTGATGGATTTTATCGTAGAGAGAAGAGCTCGAATAATTCACGTTTCGACGTTTCTATTGATGGACATCTGTTTGGAATTAGGTCAACAAAAATAAAGGTGTAATAAAAAGACAGGATCATAAATTCAAAGGCACCTGTCGGCTAAAAAGAAAGAAATTTTCTTTTTCTTTTTCCCATGATATAATCTTTTCTACCCGCTAATAAAATATTGCTAGATGTGACGTATTTGGCCGTGTAAAATAACGAAAACGATATGAACATTAGAGACCAATACTTTGGATAAGGTAAAACAAAAAATTTTAAGAAAATAAGCCGAGTGCAAGGATTAACAGATGTTATTGTTGTTCTGCGTAGGAGGTGTGTTGTAAGAGGCTCAATGAGGATTAACTGTCAGCCGTCGAAGGGCCTAAAAATTTAACCGTCAGTCGTCAATAGGGGTAGATTTTTACCGCCAACCGTCAAAAAAGAAGGTCAATATTAACCGTCAGACGCTTTGAAGATGTTTCGGATCTCGCTATTTTCCCCATTTTCGCTGCTTACCGCGAAAAGTTGAAGGTCTTAAAGGATCTTTAACCTGGTAAACCAGTCTCCAGGTTTCTATACATGCTCACTTAGTGGTGATGTTTATTGCTTTTCGCCTAAACTAACAGTTTGAAAAGATTCAAATTCAATTTTAATTGCTTTTAGCATAATTTCAGAGATACGGTGAATATATGAAGTTCATATATTTTGAACTGCGGTTATAGATACGAATGATGCACGATAGAGCGCTGCACTAGTATCGCAGAGGTCAGTGGTTCGAATCCCGTACAGGCCTGATTTTTTTCAGGTCTGATTTTCGCTATTGCATAAATAGCGCTCTCTACTGCGAGGATCGTGCATCATTAGTATAATTTCAGAGCTCAACAAAGAGTTTCAAGCAATCTGATTGGTCGAGCGGTTCCTTATATGACGCTATATAAACCGCTCCGCGCGGTTTATATAAAACGGTTAAACTAGAATGTTAATAAATGTTACTAAAATATCATGATTTTAGAAATTTCTCTGTTGTTCAGCTCTGAAATTATAATAAAACAATTATTGGCCTCAGGTCCGGTGAATATTGTCGAATAATCCCCGAGACGAAGTCTCGGGGATTATTTGACGATATTCACCGAACCTGAGGCGAATAATTGTTAAATATTAAAAAAGGGCTGACTTCTTTTATAACTCATTAATTTTGGCGGTTGACCACACCACCCAGCGATTTTCTCCTCCTTCGACAGAGACAAGTTTACATCATGTCGAGTGTGGAGCGGTATGTAGAAAGCCGCCGTGAGCTTCTGTCGTAAAGAAGAAGATGAACTTCCGAGCGCATCAAGATTTCCTGTTGTTGAAACGTCTACGGCAACACATTGTTTAACCAGGGATCAATGACTAGTCTAAGAAATTTGGGTGCGGCTTTTATGAGGTCAATCTCTACCCTTATAAAAAAAAGCTTCCATGCCGTTTCACATTTTTAGCATGAAACCTTCAGCGTTCTGCAATATGGACTTTGTTGGCATCTCAAAGAAGTCTCTGATGCGGATCACAAAGTGGGGTTTACCGGTAAAACCAATGAATTTATGAAGTTAGATCTCCACCCTGAGTGACAGTTTGCCTGTACGCATGTGTGCTTACTTGAGGGTTTACTCTAATAAGTGCTCAGCAATGTTAGCGAAGCTGTCGATCACCAGCCTGAGTAAGTAGCTAAGTAAATACCTGAGAATACAGGCTTAGGTTTCCTGGTAACAGAAAATTATTGGCAGTAACTGCAGATTTTCGAAAGCGAAAGAATTCTGCAAGGTATNCATTTTTACCGTCAACCGTCAAAAAAGCAGGTCAATATTAACCGTCAGAGGCTTTGAAGATGTTTCGGATCTCGCCGTATTTTCCCAATTTTCGCTGCTTACCGCGAAAAGTTGAAGGCCTTAAAGGATCTTTAACCTGGTAAACCAGTCTCCAGGTTTCTATACATGCTCACTTAGTGGTGGTGTTTATTGCTTTTCGCCTAAACTGACAGTTTGAAAAGATTCAATTTCAATTTTAATTGCTTATATTAAAAAAGGGCTGACTTCTTTCATAACTCATTAATTTTGGCGGTTGACCACACCACCCAGCGATTTTCTCCTCCTTCGACAGAGACAAGTTTACATCATGTCGAGTGTGGAGCGGTATGTAGAAAGCCGCCGTGAGCTTCTGTCGTAAAGAAGAAGATGAACTTTCGAGCGCATCAAGATTTCCTGTTGGTGAAAGGTCTACGGCAACACATTGTTTAACCAGGGATCAATGACTAGTCTAAGAAATTTGGGTGCGGCTTTTATGAGGTCAATCTCTACCCTTATAAAAAAAAGCTTCCATGCCGTTTCACATTTTTAGCATGAAACCTTCAGCGTTCTGCAATATGGACTTTGTTGGCATCTCAAAGAAGTCTCTGATGCGGATCACAAAGTGGGGTTTACCGGTAAAACCAATGAATTTATGAAGTTAGATCTCCACCCTGAGTGACAGTTTGCCTGTACGCATGTGTGCTTACTTGAGGGTTTACTCTAATAAGTGCTCAGCAATGTTAGCGAAGCTGTCGATCACCAGCCTGAGTAAGTAGCTAAGTAAATACCTGAGAATACAGGCTTAGGTTTCCTGGTAACAGAAAATTATTGGCAGTAACTGCAGATTTTCGAAAGCGAAAGAATTCTGCAAGGTATCGGCTCCCGCTACGCCCACCCACAGTAAATTACTTGTTTACTTTTAGGCGGTGTGTTGGCTTTTGTGTGATAGCGGAAAGTATCTGTCGTGAGCGCTTCTTATCTTTCGAAGTGATGTCCTCAAGTTTAGTTTCGAAAATGATATTTTTACCCGAGTCTTCACTTTGTGTTTGGTTGCGTGTACGAGTGGTTCTGAAGATGATAGAGGCTTGCCTGTTGGGTTGCTAACTTTGAAAAGTAAGCGCCAATTATAACAAAATTTCCGATCACCGTCACAGTAAAGAAAAACTCACACTTTATGTTCTTTTCTTTATTATGGGTGAAACTAAATAAGAATTGAAAATAATCCAGTTTTCCAAAAATCTGTGCGTGTGGTTGGAAAGGATTTGATGTACAAGGCTCCGAACAGTAAAACGGAATCGAAAGTATATCAACAAAATTCAGTTTACCGAAAGAAACGCGTTTGCGATACTAAACGCCTTGAACTGAGTTACTTTTCATCAATAGATTCATTGTTAATGTAAGAGAAAAGAGCAACTATCTGCGGCTTTGATTGGGGAGGAGACAAGCTTGATTTCTGGTGTCTGACACCTGGTAACATTAAAACACGGAAGAACTACGACATCATTCACGCAGTGTTTATGAAACAGATTAAATTAGACTCATACAATCATATAATCACTCGTTATTTATATTACAATTCGCCTTTGCGAGATGCATTTGCACGTAGGAAGGCACGGCCAAAGGAGAAGAAAGCGCTTTTAGTGTGCATGGTGTAGATGAGTTCTACCACTGTCATACAGTGCACTTTACTCGGTTAGGAAATAAACTCTAGGTCTTTCCTGTTTAACGATGAGTCCCTTCAGTGGTTGTTATGATTCATCTTGCTCGCGAACCGATGATACATTAAAAGAAGAAGAGAACTGGTTTCTAGTATCCAGTTCTTCCTGTAGCACCCGTGTGCGGGACTGTAACACTGAGATCTGCTGTCTGAGAGATTCAATGGTATCCTCAAGGTCCTGGTAATTTTACAGGGGAAAAGGAAAATTATTAATAAAATACGAACCGTCCTAATGGAGGGCTATTCCACAATTCACTTGACAAAAATAATTACAATTCATTGATTACTACCTTACCGGCTTAACAAAATGAAGATTATCAAAAAAACCACTCGAAAGACTGGAAACAAATTTGCCTGTACTCAAGATGTTTTTAGCTGAATCTGACTGATCAAATCTGAGTTGAATTTATTTGGAATTAAAATCCCCTTTGAGCGACACCCCTCCCTTATCAGGCGAAGCAGTGTGAGAGCGAAGTAACAAATCAGTTAACCCTTTAACCACCAAGAGTGACCAGCATCAAGCTTTTCTTTACAGTATCACCCCAATAAGTTCACGACAATCAAGAAAATGATGATCAACTAAACAAACTCTTGATTGCTAAACAGATTCTCCTTGCCAGTACCTTTGGAAATGCAAAGAGGACAGTTTGGAGCAGAGCTCATGGGTTCAAATCCCGTACAGCCCTGAATTTTTTTCAGGCCTCATTTTCACTATTGCTCAAGTAATGTTCTTTACTGCGAAGAGTGCTTCCATATTCATTTCTTAATCTGCAGTTCATATGTATGATTTTAATATATTCACAGTCAATATGCTTACTGATACGTATGATGCACGATCCTTCGCAGTAGATAGCGCTATTTATGCAATAGCGAAAATCAGACCTGAAAAAAAAA